TTGTTCTGTTCTTTTGACCATCACACATGACTCGACCTCAACTAACGTGTTAGTCCCCGTTAATGAAACGCTAGATGTAACCTCGCCCCAGTCAATGGCACTTTAGTGGAAATGTAGCAATAAGCGCACTCGTTTTGGGGTTGATTTTGTCCCCTTGGAAATAATTTCAAAGAAGGCCATTATACGAAAAGGACTTGAGTCAAAGCACTTGCCAAAACAGTATCGAGTTGTGCGCTGAGTAACCCAGTGTGATACAGAACTGTTCTTGATGGAAAACCCTCGTTGACAGAGGAATGCTTTTTTTGTCATAGCCCATTCTCGTGGTAATTTACTTCCTAAAACCAACGAAGAAACCCCTCGTGGTTCGCAATACGGTCTATTTATTGTCCAAGAGAGTAAATTATCATGGGAACGCTTCATGTGACTGATTCCAAGGCCGACCATCACCTCGTGAAATGGGTTAAAAGCACAGGAGATACACCAATGCACTAATACTCCAATACAGTAGAAGGCTCTCCGACTGACTTAGCCGACATGTGATATTCCTGAGTACGAAAAAGGCAGGGTACGAATTTATAGTAGTGAAATTGAAGGGTAGGATAAAGCGATGCACAACAACTCACTAGGCGTTCAGTCGCCGATAGTCACCAGGGCCTTTGTTAGTGCTAACATGCCTGATTTAGTGGTTCTTAGTTATCATATAAGACACTACTCACTGGGTTGCTGAAAACTCCTTGACAGCCCACGACCGGTTCCGGTTGAGGTAGGTGCAGTCCCTGAGTTTCCGTCAACCTTATGTTCTACTTGAACCCAAATTGGACTGTTTTCGAGAAATACACTCATTTGCAAATTAAGTTGGTTTTCAAGAGAGACGGGGAGGGTGAAACCGGTCATGGACTGTCGAAGAGCTTTCAGCAACCTTGTGAGTATTATCCTTTGTGAAAACATACTGCGATATCTCGAATATCGGGCCAACTGAAACATGAGGTGGCTTATGTGCAGCACATTCAGTTGTAGAACACCATACAACGAGAGGTTCAGTTGAGTTTCTTGTGAAAACCAAATTGCTTTGCAAATGGTTCTTAGTTAATTTGGATTGGTAGAGTAAACAGCGGCTTTTATTACTGATATGATCATATTTTACGACCGGTAGGCAGCTCCGCCTTGGTACACTAACATGTGCAGAACAGAGATTTGCAACAGTTTTGGCTCCCTGGGGAATGTAGCGTGAAAAAAATCTATAATCTCTCTTCCGCTCCCACGAACGGGCTGACCAAGACACAGTGATATGAATGGTACTAACCTACCACAGTTCGAAACTCACACAATACGATTATTGTTGGTGACCGTACTATGAGAAAAACAACCGTCAAGGACACAGTTCGAAGTGCAACAAATGTGTCTATGAAAAGGGGAGTACGGCGGCAATACTGCGTTCTTGATTGAGCACTCAAGTTTATTGAAAGCTCTTCGGCAGACAAACACCGGTTCCGCCTTTCGTGAGCAGCATGTTCCGTCAAGAAAGACAGAAGAAGCTGAAATTGCTTCAGACTGTTATGGGATAATAGAGAGATTTCTACTCATATGGTGTTTATGCTGATAAACTATAGTAATGTGCTGACTAACGCTCATCCAAGTTTGCAGCTTGGAAGATGAAGCAGATGTGAACTAGACTCACATTGCTGAGAGTGATTTTACCTTGGGCAGACTAGTGAATTGTTTTTTGACCGTACATTACACACCATGGAAATTCACAGGTAGACTGTCTTCGGTAAGCTCTCTATTCTACTTCCGTCCACAACTTTTACAATCGAGGTTAATTTTTCAGTCACTACCGTGGTCGGGGTAAGAAAAACCACCTAAGAAAAGTGACAAACAGCTTCGAGTTTGAACCGATTTGAGCCAAATTCCAAGACCATCATCCTCTGAAAAGTTGGCGACAACCTGTTGTCCACAAATTTGGCACTTGATTCATATTTCGTTACCGAAAATGTGGCTCAATGCAATACAGTGATGAAGGCGGTTCTGCAAAACCGCACCCCATATACCACAGAAGCATGAAACTGCTCACAGTGGCGCAAAATCACGGTTCGAGGCGCACAAGTGACGCACAGATAAAAAAAATCCATACGAGTAATGTGGACTTTGCTTATCGTTTGACCCATTTTGTTTTATTTTTTATCTATCATCGGATACTAGGGCAACTGAGTTTATCAGTGTTCCGTCCAACGAAACTTTGCAGGGGATTAAAACTTTAAGGGACAATAATCCCACTCACATCGTACTGTTTGAAGGTGAGTACCCGTATATACCCGCGCGAACTACACTCACATGGGTTTTACCTGGAGACTCGGTTACATCTCTTGTTTGTCTCACGTTTCAGCAGGTGCAATGTTCGAGATATCGTAGTATATTTTTTTACAGGTGACTTACTGTAAAATTGTCTAAAACCGCTGAGATAACCACAACCGACTTCTGCCACATGCACATATGCCAAATGCACATCAATCTGTGCATTTCGCACGAGATTTCTCAGCAACCTTATGGGTGGTATTTTGTCAGCTTAGCTTTCTTTCAAATTTTCCAGAACACGGTTTAAGTAAACGAATCTAAGACGCCATTTCGCACATTCCAAAAACTGGAAGCCGAAAGTGGTGCTGTCGTGGTAAATGTTCTTTGAGGAACGGCGTTTGGTTGAACATATTACCCAAATTACATATCTTGTGTGACATGGGCTTGAGATCAAGGAAAAACTTAGAGGAGTTTGCCATGTTTAATTGAATAGTTCATCGATAGAGAGGAACAACAGCCTCTCGCTAAGAGTGCCAGCTTAGCGACCGGTTGTCCGTACTACCACATGACCAAAGTATTTTTAATAACACTGACTGGTCTAGAAACATACCAATTAGCTGGTTGCAATAAGGGGGAATCAGAAATCATGATGCTCAACACATTCATACTGAAATAGGCAGTCAGTCAATCAACGTGAACCAATGAAAATTATGGAATTTATTTCTAGATCAACATCAGTTGATTCTTTGTTTCATTCGGTGCTTTCACCCATCCCCTCATCCCCAAACGGTGTGATGTCTCTAGATCAACATCAGTTGATTCTTTGTTTCATTCGGTGCTTTCACCCATCCCCTCATTCCCAAAACGCTGTGATGTCTTCACCTTACTGGCGTACATGTGTAAAATTCTGGGAACAGTTTACACTCCCAGAAATAGGCAAGGTAAGCTAAAAGTACATTGTTGATTCGCAAGACTTGAAACAGCTTTCAAAGTTCATTGAGCATTTGTATGGTGTCTAAGTCTGCATTTTATAGTTAAACCTTTCGGGTAAAAATTCTCGTTTCCCTTGGGACGGAATTACTGCCTGAAACTTTTATTTGTGAGTTTTGTTTTCACAGCCGCATTAACTAGATTCAAGTGAGGGTTAAAAGCTAGGTCATTCTCTAATTTTTCTCACACAGTCACCTTTAGTTTAACCACACACAATGCAATTGAATAGGTATGCACCACACGTGATGAAATTGAGTACACTGCTCCACATGATAATTGGTCTGTGATCGCTTGAATCAACAACTATCACCTCCACTGTCTGTTGACGTGTGCCGAAACAAGTTTTGATTTAAGATTTTGGAGGACAACTTTGACAGAAGAAATTTATCAAGGTTGTTTACATCTCTGAACCTACATTCTCTTCTCTGTCATAGAGATTGACTTGACCACTTTTTGAAACAGGCAGATTTTAGATGACTTCCCGAGGCGTGTGTTAATTGCTGAGTAAATCCAAGAAGGTTCCTCACAGGACCATTCCCTTGAGGGTGTCACTTTGAATGGAAAAAGCAATACATCATTTGTGTGAACTTAAAAGGCTCTTTGTAGCAGAAGCCCAGTTTAAACAACTATTTTGAACGTAAATTTCACCTTGATTGTTACAGCCTGAATCAGTTCTGTCCACGCTTACTCAAAATAGAATAAATTGGTTTGAAAACCTCGAGTATAACTTTGGCCAGAGCAATCGTTTACGTGGTACAAAAATTGCAAAACAGATTTTTAAGAAAAATGAACAACAGTTGCAAGCAGGATAGTTTTCCTTTCGTCAAGGAAGGAAAGTGAAGCAAAGGAAACACACCAGTGGAGTTTCTCACTCTTTTTTGACCGAGTAAAAATTATACCATAATGATTAACAGACCGCTTTTGTTGCTGGGTCACATTCGCGCCTGGTTACAGTTTGAAAAGCCTAGTTTACCAAGATGACCTGTGGCGATCGGAACTGATCAGCATTACTAGTCACATCAGTGTGTTGTCATATCTCCTGGCTGGCCAAATCGCTGGAAACAGATATCGATTGAGAGAAACGACCAAAGGCAAGCCAGGTTTCTTGGTATAATTCACTGAAAGTTTTTCCTGTGTTGAACATGTTCTGTGTGACATCCCATACCGTTTACTGCAGCTCAGTGCGACCAATTTCGCTTCAGGCAGAACACCATACTGATGAATGCACCAAATTGATGTGCCCCAACAGGAACAAATCCTCCTGTGGGCTGTTGGATAGTTTTCAGTGACCTAATGAGTAATCTTCGGTGTCCCGAATATCGTATAAACTGGAATAAAAACTGGTCTGTCTTGCTAGTGACCTTTCAAGTGGGCGAGAGTGATATCTAAGACTTTTGGCAGGTTTATTCACACTGACAATATTTCCATTCAGCACTGATGGTTTACTGTTGAATTGTTGTTTACTGGTGTCATGCCTGGATGCGCCCGGCTGATAGGGTTGTCGATCTTTCACTTAACTAGTCTCACTCGGGTCCAATATTCAGTTAACCAGCCTACAAAACTATATCTCCTGGTAGTGTTCGCATTGTAAAATGACCAGAACAGTATAAACCAAGCGATCACCCGTAGAATGAAAATTGGAGATACCTGACAAATATTCATATCTGAATAGCACATAACAAAACACTGATACGGGAGAAATGGTTATCGTGACTTACCTCACGAATCTTTCGACGTCTTGTCGATGGCTGTCTTGATGGTGTACACCCACAACAACTGTTTAATTGACAACAGCCATGTGAAGCACTGTGGGTTTTGGACTTTTGTGGATCACTGCCGGGCGCTTTGCTAGACATGATGAGGGCGATCGGTAAAATAATCACAGTGCGCACAAATACTAGAGAGCCGAAAACGGTGGCCAACAGATGACGATTTTCGAAACACAAACACCGTCAATTATCGGGAATGACTCCAATAAAGGAAGCTAGAAGCTTCCTTGTTCGCATAAGTTTTAAAAATAATATTCCTAAAGTTCGAAAGAAGGACTATGTTACCATGTTTGAGTTGAATTGATTCCGTGGTTGTGATGATGAGCTGAGGAGTAGTTTTCTAGTCATCGTTGGACAGTGTTCAGTATTCCAGCGAAAATGAAGCACCTCCACTTAACAGTTGTGTACGACTGTACTGCATGCAATTCGTAGTGGCATGCAAGAAACACCGAAACATTCCATGGCGTATGCGAAACTGGCCCAAAATACTGGGTAGTACACCCGGATTATAAGCGATATCAACTCCCAGCCTGCGATCACTATACCTGTGTGAATCGAATGCACGCGGTGAATCTATACAACACGTGTTTCGTAATTCGCGTGTGTAGCTGATTTTCTGCAAAGGGCAGATCGATAGGCTGGCAGTAATTTTCAAATTGTAGTATGGCGAGTTGCGCTGCGCTGATTGGCTGCAGGACGCCAGAGGCAACCAGTGGCCTTTAGCCAGTCTGCCATTTCCGTCTCATTCAGACTACAAGTCGGCCAATCCGAAACGTCCTCACTCGAACGTAGCAGTCAGACAGGGCAAGACAAATGCCGGTTCGGTTGCCGGTAGTCTACGTTTTTCCGACTGCAACTCATCCAATTCCCTATAATGTACAGTCGAGCGTCAGACAGAGTGGGAACGTTCGAGTGGGGCAAAATGATTAATGTCCCCATTAAGTGTGTACAACTTAGAGACAAATCGTTTTACCTTTTGTGACAAACCTCGTTACTGGTACAAATGACAGGTAGGAGAAAAGTACTGATACGAGGCTAGAGTTGTGAAAAACTGCAACCTTCTAAGTAATTTAAGCTGAAATTTTCAGTGAGAGGTAATGTTGCTACGGCAACAATGTGCCCCAGTTTTTTGGGATATATATCAATCCTGCGGCATGAAAACTTTTCGAAACTAATGATGTTCCGGTACGTGATTAGATGGGTGAACATGATTCCATAGTATATCTATTCTTTTTTGTCGAAAATTTGGGGATATTTCTCCAAGTGATATGGAACTGAATGCAAAGCAAAGTTACTGTGATTTATCGGATAGAAGTGTGGACGAAAATACGTTGACTGGAGCAAATAACAGCAAGGAACATGGGTGTTAACGACGGCAGCGTATAAGAATGTAAGTGCAAAAAAAGGGTCTACGATAACGGGTTAAAAGAAATACCGAAGCCGCTATCTTGGAAATGTTCAATTCTGGATTCTTGTCTTAGCGCGACCGTCTCTGTTTAGCAACGACCACTGGATAGAGTACGGTGGCAAGCCATTCGGAACGCATTTTGCGTTCCAGTGAAGTGAGAGTCTAGGAATTCATCTGATGTTAAGATCATTGGCTATCTATTAACAGTCCTAACCATTTGTGGCTTAGCTTACAGCTCTCCCGCTACTCTAGGTATGTACGTGATTCCACACACGCTGTTGTCATTGTAGGTGTAGTGGGAGGTAGCCATGACAGGAAGATCACCGTTTGCCATCAGTTGCGACATCCTTGTTAGATCGGCTGCAAGAAACGCTCACCGGGTCCGGTGATGATTCCAGATTCAAACCTCATCACCGCCGTCTAATACCAGCCAGGTGTAGATGACAGTTCTAAAACTGTGGTGAAACCGGTCGAAGAGTTTTCAGCCACCTTATGAGTAGTGCATTGTGTTGTGATCCAAGTTTCCTAACTGCGTATGTGAAGCAACACTAAATCGCATGTTATACCTACTAAGGAAAGAATTTCTCACCGTATCGGTTAAAATGACTGATTTTTCAGAAAATTACTTATGAGAATATTTGCCAGCACTACGGGACTGTGAATATATCACGTAAAATGTTGAAAGAACAGTGTGAAGTCGTCACTAAGGGAGCTAGTCAATATGTGACCACGTGATGCATTTTCCATGACTGAAGGATGAGTGGTGCTGCGTCCTGTTCAAGTGAGAGCTAATCGCGCTGCTGATCTGCAGCTCGTCGCCAAACGGATAATGGATCTACCACTGGTCGCAATGTCGGTGTTTCGGAACTCCCTGAGTTTCGTGAGACGCGTGCTGCCGTCGAAACCACTGGATGTTGCCATGCACAAAGCTGAGTACACATTTTAGCTGGGAAAAACGTTTCCTAGTAGTCCAAGGATATTTGGAGGTTTTTAATCCAGATATTGTCTTGTAAGTGGAGCCAAACTATGCTGAAAATCAGCTAGGCAATGTAAAGCTGTTTTATCCCTATTGAGAATCACCACCAAAGCGCACCTCACGAAACCCCAGTAGGTTTCGAAACCGCGACCTTCTGGTTAGTAGTTTGAACATTTAACACTTTGGTCACAAGCCGCCAATCAGCACTGGGTGTTATTTCCTTGATTGAAAGACCAGTGAAGCAATATATCTTGTTTGGGTTTGATTCAATCAGATGGCTCCTCATGGCTGAAAGTTTGTTTTAAGTGAAGCCAATCTATGCTGGAAAGCCGAGAAGCTGTTTCATCCTTATTGGGAATCATCAGCAGCGCGCATCTCACGAAACTCCAGGGAGTCTCCAATCCGCAACCTCCTGGTTAGTGGTTTGAACGCCTGACCGTTCGGCAACGAGCGGCTGATCAGCAGTGTGATTAACTCGCACTTAGATAGGATATAGCGTCGCTCATCCTTTATCTGAGAAGTCATTGCTCGAGGAGCCAGTCAACACGTGTGATCGCGTGATGTGGATCCCGTGATTGGAGGATGAGCAGGGCTTTATCCTGTCTAAGTGCGAGTTAATCACCCTGCTGATCAGCCGCTCGTTGCCGAACGGTCAGGCGTTCAAACCACTAACCAGGAGGTTGCGGATTGGAGACTCCCTGGAGTTTCGTGAGATGCGCGCTGCCGATGATTCCCAATAAGGATGAAACAGCCGTAGAGTACTTCTCAGCTTTTCAGCGTAGATCGACTCCACTTACGCAATGAAATGCCAGTTGAAAGAAAACTTGTTCCTCTAGTCTACTTGATAAGGTGAAATGTAACCTAAAAGTGCAGTGTGGGTCGGTCATTTGTCAACAATCCCAGTGAAAAATGCATGCTACAATGATTTCGGATTGCTTTAAGTCCGACACGCTCCCTCCTGAAAACCAGACTGCGACAGCGATCCACCAAAGGACAGGTGGCGGATGCATTCAATTTTTTTTGGACTCCAGACACTTTGTTATGCAGCCGTCCTTTTTGACAGACAGGTGAAAGGAGACTGTGAGGTAGCTGGTGCAAGTAAAGCATGAAAAGAATACAGGCACACACACAGAAAAAACAACTAGGAAAATTAACCCGTTTGTTTGTCCTTTCTAAAGATGGCCTATCAAAACACAGCGCGTTGATTAAACTTGCAGGTAATTCGAGGAGGGAGAATGAGTTTCCCAGCTGTACCGTAGAAAGCAACAAGATTCTCGCCAATTCCATGAACGTGTCGTCATACACCAGTTTGTGTCGGTGCTATTTCATTGAAACAAACACCTGTCTGAAGAAAACGGTCATTTTTACACAAAATATCCTACGGCATGATGCAGTGTTGGTCGTCTGCGTGACAAAGCCTGCCGGAATCTTTGTATCAAACGTTGCTCTCCATCGATCAGTTCAGAGTAGTGCTCCTGATAGGTCAACAAACTGTGGCAAGCAAAGAGTGGGCGCACCTCAAAGCATTTTTCCAGGAATCATCATCAAAATGAGTTGCGGTGACCATTTGCCACGTGGGTTGTAAACACTTGCCTAAAATTACAACCGAAAGGCGTTCCCTTTGGGATGGGGGCCAAAACTTGATAGCTTATCTCCAGTTATTTTGATAAAGTGTTTTGCATATTAGCAGCCATTTTTTAATCAGTATGATCTAATCCATCCATCAGACTAAACATGAAAAAATTTTGAATAGTCTGTTTGCCAGGCACCAGATCGTCTTGTTTGGTCTAATCAACAAAAATCCAGGTTTATTCCTTTTCTTTCTCAGTGCGATCGCAGTAACTCTTCAGAAAATAAAAAGGCTTGTTCACAAAAGCCTACCAACTAACCAAGGATTATTTGTGCAACCGTTTTCCAACAAACATTGCCGTTCTTAGCAATGTTTACTTTCCTACGGGTCAACCCAAACGAAGGGGGATAAAGTTTGGTGAACCATGAAGGGTCATGGGAACACAAATCCCAACGAGGAAGAACGTGGAAGTTTTTTTCACGTACAAGATACATACGCATCAAGTACAAAAGATTCAAAACGGCGGAACGCACTTTAAGCACAAATCTGCATAAATAGCCAGAAACGAACGATAATCCATAACAAGCACTGGATAGTGTACCAGCGACTTCTGTGAACGTTTTGCCGGCAGAAGTTTAATGCCTTCATCTTACGACTGGCCTAGGTTACGTTGTGTTTTTTGCAAACAGCTGTGTGCATATCCATGTTTGTTCTGTCAAACAACCAGTAACCAGCTAATAGGATACTAAATATAGCATGAATAAAAAGTATGCGTCCGTAGAGGTAGAAATACGTTTAACCTATCTCTCAGGACGTAGAAGGCAAAGCCTCCCATGTTACTGACAATGTGGTCCGAACAGTATTTTACAGAAAGGCTATCCAGTGCGAAGAGCATTCCAACAATGCCCATCGTTTTCTGACCCCTGAGAACGGGCTTAACAATAATATCATCCTATGTAGTTTTTGAAAATTCTCAGTTGCGACGCTAACAAACTTCAACTTCCCATGTATTGATTGAGGTTTTGTCAGATTTTCAAATCGAAAATTCTTTAGACACTTGTCTAAGGGCGACATTAGGTCAGACTCCTGCTCATTTTCTGCTCTGGAATCTGGTGAAAATCAGGGACTTTGTATTTGTCCCCCGAAAGGATCCGCATATATTGTGGACACAGCGGGGCGAAACCGCGTTCAGTACTCACCAACCTCAAATTTTTCCGTAAATTAGAGCTTTTTAGAATCGTATACAATCTGTTGAGTCACTTTGATTCATGGTCAGTGAAACTTCAACACGGTAAACAGTGACAAGCCTGAAGAAGGTCTCTCTGCAATCTACACGTCAGCCCTCTACCAAGACGATTGCCAATCGAGTGATGCGAGATACCATTTAAACTGCCTTAGTACGGAAAGGAAGATAAAAAATTTCGTTAGATCCTTATTGTTCATATGGCAGATAGAAAGGACAACAAATTTGTCTGGTGTCGCAAGATGTTAGTTCTCGCGTTTCATTTATCTGATTAACAAAAGTTGAAGCCTCATGTGCATTGGAATTTCTATTCACTCCGAATGGTGAGCCGCCGCGCATG